AAAAATAAAATTTAAAAAATTTATTAAGTTATTTTATATAAAAATCTTAATTAATTTTGTTTTTTTAGTTATAAAGAAAATATTTATCAAATTTTATATAAAATAAATAATTTTTTATTTAATTATACAAAGTAAAAATTTTTTTATCAAATTATCATACTAATTTTATATAGAAAAAACATAATAAAAAATTTGTTATTAATTTTATAAGTAATTTTTTTGGAATTTAAATAAAAAATTTATAATTAATTTTATAAGTAATTTTTTTTGGAATTTAAATAAAAAATTTAATATAAAATTTATATAAATAGTCTTAAGTAACCTTATTCTTTAACTTTTAAAAAATATATATTTAAATTTTTATATTATTAAATAATTTTATTAAGTTATGAATAAATAATTTCAAAAAATTTTGTTACACACTGTAAGTATTTTAAATTCAGAATTAAGAAAAAATAACCTAAGTTATTAAATAAAAAAGTCATCAAAAAATTTATAAATAATATTTTTGTTATCTTCAAAAATACTATCTATATGTCATTTTATTTGGATTCAATTTTTTCTGCTTTTTTTAATATAAAGGTTCTGTTCTTTTTTAGAACATATTCGATATAGTTTGATGATGAAATGTTTAGCTGCATAGTTGCACTAAAGAAAGGAATTGAGGGCTCACAATGCGAAAGTAAAGGTTTAAGGACCAAAAGTTCAGCCCCCATCAAAACATTGTATGTGTGGACCATAGAACATTAAAAACAATATCGATTTTTCTTATTATTTTGAAGAGCTTCTATTAGATTCAGATTCTTAATTTAGATATTTTATTGCTATACTCTATACGAGCTCTTCAAGAAGCATATAAATTTTTCTTATTATATTAGAAAAGCTTTACCTTAATTTCGATATCAATTTTTGGTTATATTTATTAAGTCTAATTATCAGGAATTAATTTTGCGTGAGTTGGCTCATTAAATAGCATATTAGCCACTTAAATCTAACGAAAACAAATCTGTCCTATTACCTCATAAATAAGTCCAACGATTTTTTAAATCTAACGAAAATAAGTCTAACTACCTTTATTAAGTCTAACGAAATATAGGTCACATGATTAATAAGTCTAACGAAATTATATCTGATTCTATTGCGCACTTGCTCAATAAATAGTCTTAATTTCCCCAGAATATGCCGTCTATAAAATAAGTCTAACTGTTCCATCATAAGTCTAACAAAATATGCATATGGGAACGAGGCTAAGTTAAATTAGTTGAATGCCTAGGTGGAAAAATCGAAAATTCCCTCTAACTGTACTGAGAAAGGATATTCAATAAACAAGATTAAGCTTCTTTTTCGAAAGGAAGTCTTTAAATATGACTGGACAAATGCATGGGAAAAATTCGACAGAACAAGCCTTTCGTCTAGAAAGGACTTCTATTCACTTTTTAGTCAGCTAAATATTAGTAAAGAGGATTACGAACATGCTAAAAAGGTATGGCAAGTATTCGAGATGAAGAACTTTGGAGAATATCATGACCTTTATCTTGAAACTGATGTACTTTAACTTGCGGATGTTTTCATAAATTACACCATAATGTGTCTCAAAGATGATGGCCTAGATCCATCTCACTACGTCTCTGCACCTGGAATGTTCAATAATTCTCTATACAAAAGTAGCGGAGCAGAACTTAAGCTCATGACAGATATAGACGAGTATCTGATAGTTGAAAATGGAATCCGTGGAGGAATGACAATGACAAGTCATCGATATGCCAAAGCTCCGCAATTCCAGACCATGAGTCCAGCAAGCCAAATCCCTGGATCATGTATAAGGTAAGGATATGAATACTTTATATTCAGGAGCAATGACCCAATACATGCCTACAGAAGTTTTGGGTAAAGTGAGTCCAGATATCCAAAGTATTACGCCTGATGCAGAATTAGGCCATACACTTGAAGTTGATCTATAAGTCCCAGTGCACTTGCACGATTACTTTGCAAATTATCCATTAGTGCCAGAAAAGCAGATAGTTCCAGAAGATGGCTTAGCTTGTATAATGAAAGATTAGTGCGAGATAAAAATGTTGGAGGTAAATACATGTCCGGAGAAAGCTAGTTCAGACCCCTACTAAGAACAATTATGTAGTTTACTATCGAGCTCTTCAGACATATATAAAGTTCGGAATAAAGGTTACAAAGATTTATAGCGCTCTTAAGTTTAAGCAATCTCCATTAATGAAGGAATACAGCATAATTGAAGAAAATATTTGTAAACGCAAAATAGCCAAGGCAAATGTGGATGAGTTTGGGGTCATGTATTATAAGTTAAAGTACAATGCGGTATTTAGCAAACAGATGGAAAATGTTTGAAAACATATGAGAGTAGAACTACTCCGAACAGAAGAGTATAAAGAAATTAGCGTCTGGCGAGTTCTTTATTATTTGTGGGTTTCAAACAATTCGAGGGAGGAATTACAGCCGTTCATATGTTAAAAGGTACGGTAACTTTAAATAAACCGATCTATGTATAGTAGAGCAAGCAATTTTCGACATTAGCAAGGCTATGATTTTCAACTTTTGGTACGGTTATATAAAGCCTCGCTATGAAGATAAGGCCCGTTTGCTGTATACTGATATAGATTCGCTCATCATGTGGATAGATACTGAAGACATATATAAAGATCGAGCAGAAAGGCCAGACATTTTTTGTCTTATCTATTCAGGTGACTTATTTCTGATGAAGGATGAGACAAAGGGAAGCCCAATAGGCGAATCGGTATGTTTAAAGCCAAAAATGTGTACAGTTCTTCCAGCAGGTCATGATCCTAAAACTCTTAAACAGAAGCGGATTATGAGAAAGAGCTAGAGGAGGAAGAATTTAGAAAATCTCAGGGTGTAAAGTATTGGGAGAAAAAGCATGGCACCCAAAAGGCAAAGGGAGTAAAGAAATGCGTGGTCAAAAGAGAGCTTCGACATGGCAAGGTTTTAGAATGTCTTAGGAATAAGAAACTGACTCGGCATGATATGTATGGTCTACGTAGTTACGATCATAAAATATATCTGGAGAGGATAAATAAGATAGGGCTGAATCCATATGATAACAAACGCTGGATCTTACTTGATGGAATTCGAACCCTCCCATATGGTCATTAGCGAATTGGACTATTTAAACGCCTGGTAACTCCTGAGGACGTAAAAGAAAGAGCTATGAAAGGCAAACTTGGTGTCAAGGCACAGATGCTTTATAACAAATATTTTTTGGGGTAAAAAAAAAATTAGCAATAACTAAAGAATACATTTTTATTAATTAAAGTTTTTTTATTAATAAATTAAAAAGATTCAAAAATGGTTGATCTAAGTATATAGAACTTGCGCAAGCTGAAGTCATAAAAACAGCATTGCGAAAAGGCAGAAAATATGATAATCTTGCAAAAAATTATGGAAACTACCTGCGAGCTGAAAAGAACCCGAATAACTATATTGAGACACTCGCAGTAAATATGTTCACTAAGAAAGAAGCATATACTGAAAGACTGGAAAATCATCGCAAAAGGTGTGAAGATAATGATATATATACCAATTTAGAGAAATCGTATGAGCTTTATTATCATATAGCTAAGGAGGAAGGTCAGATGATAAAATAGAGCAGATGCTCAAAGCAATGGCAATATAGTAATCCACGACAAAGCTTTTTATACAAAGATATTTTTTCGTCTAGAGAGAATAATGTAGGTGAAAATTAGCAATTGAAATAAAAAACATTAGTTAAGTAAATCAATACGTTTGGTATACAATGCATTTATACATCCCGCTCGAAAAAGCAGATATAATTGCTGATATCGTCAAAAGATTCCTATTAGAGGCTCTTGATAAATTCTGACGAATAAATAGCACTTAGTATAAAGAAATTCAGCATGAATTTCGGCAAAGATGGAAGATACAAGTATTGGAATATTACAAATTAGAATGTGAACGAGAGTTCCTAATGGAAGAGGTAGAGAGAAAATATCCTTATAATCTTTTTATGCGAGGATTATTTAATAAAGACATGGAGAATTTTTATACTGAAGTACAATTGAGGCGGCTAAAAAACAGTTAGAGATCGAAAGCTATATGCTTAGCAATGGAATTCTTTACGAGCAAGAAAAAGAAATTGTAAAATATAATATGCAGAAGATAATTAAAAATGTGATCCCTTGGTGGGAAGCAAGGGATGCCTGGGATTTTATTTTAGAGCATCATTTTTATCTATTTATCCACCATTAGCTAGTCTAGTGAACGATGCATATATGCAATCAGCGAGACGAGTTATAGCGCCAACATAAATATTATAGATTTTGTTCTGGCGCGATAAATATTCAGTTATTTTTTTCTAATATGGAAAGAAAATGACTTCTAAAAAGAAAATCAAAATCTTAAAAGTATTGGCCGAGAAATCTATTATTTATATGAGGCTATGACAGAACATCCTTCTCTAAATTATCTGAGTTCAGTTCACCTGAAGAAATTATAGAGAAGTAGTTGTATCCGAAGAAAAGAAAGACAAATTCTACAATCCAAAAAGACTAAGAGGACTCAAATAATTAAATCGATAAGTTATAATGTTTGGCTAAAAAATTGAGGAATAATCGGCGCAAAACCGCAGGTAAGTTCATCACTAATTCCATACAGTATTCGTCACTGTGTAATTTAGCCACACATATGGTTTATTACTGTCAAAAATAAAAGACAGGATAGATTTGTAGGCGTTTTTTATTATCCTGAGCTAAGTGAATATCTGGCAACTAGTCCAGAGAAGTGATCAATAGCTTGGAAGAATTATATTTTTTTCCGATTGAAAGATATTCTAATCACGTAAAATGCATAAAGTTAATTTAATAAAACAACTTCCGCCTGAACTTTACCATTCATTTTAAAGTATCTTCCAGGACGGGACCTAAAAAATTCTTACAGTATAAATGATGCGTGAAAAAGAGAGGCGAAACTAGAAAGATTTGAAAGAATGGATTTTTTATCTGGGAGAATAGTTCAAGGCAATTATACAGTAAAGGAATATTATTTGAAACTGAAAGAGTGTAATTTAAGCAAAGTCTATCCAGAATGGCTTCTTAAAAATCTATTTATTTGGATGGGCTAGAAGTACTTGTGTTAGATGAAATAGTGAAAGGCTTAGTCCGAATCAGTGATCGCGTAATTTTATTTTTTTTCGTTTTGAAGATACAATACATAATATACTGTAGATTATTTATGTCGCATACAAGTGTTTTTAATATACAGAAATCACTAGAACATATTTTACATTTCTTTTCGATAGATACAGTAAATCCTTCTATCCCGCTCTATTTGTTTGCCGATTGTGGTACAGATACGGTGCTCTCATTCTATGGAAACGCATCAAGCTAGAATGGAAACAATACTCACAATTGAAAAAAGTTATGAAAATGGTACGAAGAAGACCAAAGCACATCTAGAAATTTCACACTACCATCCACTTTCAGATAAAAAATTCAATGGCATTGCGCATTTATTCTCAAATATAGTTTATTTTGATTTAAATTTTAGCGCAGAATTTAGCAACAAAAAACTAATTCGAATATCAGAAACATAACCAAATCTAAAGTATCTCAATTTGCAAAAGGATAGAAATGTAAGCTGTAATGCTGGAATAATAACTGATAATGGTCTATGTGCAATTGCACGGTCGTGCCCTGAATTAGAATATCTAAATGCTTCTTATCGCACATATATTACCAATATATTATTTGTTCGTGCCCAAGGCTCCAGCGCCCTAATCTTAGCTTTTGTAAAATTGCCGATGTGACTATCGAAGAGATTGCTAGTTCGTGTCTTAATTTAAAACATCTTAATCTGAAAGGGTGTTATAAAATTAGCAAAGAAGCTGTATATGAGCTTAATTCAAATATCATGTTGATAGTTTCGTGAAAACTCTAACGCCTCTTGATCTCATTGGAGTTGTTAGAAATCATCTTACACAGAACAACGTCGCTAGTAGACAGATTTTAGCTCAAGATTTTTTACGCCCTGTGTAACAAAAAATAGAGATTAGCAAGCTCGTTCTAGAACCTTCGGAATTAACTAAAGCTCTCTCAGTCAAATAAATCATTTTTACTCTCTGAATCTTCTAGAGACCGTCAGAAGTTCTGAAGATATGCTCTTGCATTTTTATCAACTTCTCCTATTTCTTGATTAGTATAACCGACAATGCCAAGTCTTTCTTGAATTATGCTTATACCATCTTCCAAATATAAAGGCAAATGATAAGCGGTAATCCCACTTGATTTCGATATATTATTGTAAGGAGGGGATGGCAACCGATCTGGAGTTTCTCCGGTATCGATCTTAATTCTTCTATCACATTAAACAATAGTTAATATGATTTATCAAGTGATTTTGCTTTCTTGCTTTGATGCACTGCCATTAAAGTCCAACTTTGAGACTTTGGGGTCGATCTATACGTGAAAAGGTATGAGAATTCCATTCGCATGTGCCTTCAAAGAACCAATAATGCCTCATATCTCTAACTTTTTCCCAGCGAGAAATGTATGTGGAAGTTCATCCAACTTTCCAGCAAAAATATTCCCAAAAAATAAGGCATGTACAGTATATAGCAGAAGCTGTTTGTGTTTTGGAGCGAGCGATTATAACGAGGACAGGTCGTATGTTTTTTAAGGAACAATAATGCATCGAAGATGTAAGCTATGAAGACAGGACACGGAAATCCGTTTGCAATATATGGAAACATAAGAGGTTAGTAAGTAAAGTAGTAAATAAGAAGTAGTAAAAAGACGAGCTACATAATTGCCTCAATCGGCTATTTGTAACGAAAGTGAATATGTATGAGTTTGGATTATTATTATTTTATTGGAACTCTTTGTCGAGAGCTCTCCAAGTAATAAAATACAAATATGATAAATGATAATGAATATAGGGACATAATAATTATAATAAATATAATAAAAGATTTAAATTATAATGATTATTCTGGTGAATTCGGAGGATTGGCACCAAAGTAACACCATATACTGTAGAAGTTGATCTTTCTCACGAAGAAAAATGTAAACACTTTGGTAAAATTTTTCGTGGGGGTCATTTACTAGCATAGTACTTATTATTTGGTAAAATGAACAATCAGAGCAGAACAAATTGTGCCAGTAAGCCCGATTATGGCTACAATTATAGTTGTGGGATCCTTTACCCTATGCGACGAGCTATAGGCATTGTCTCTTTCCCTTTTGTAATTATCCCGTTTAATTATGCACCTGTTCAGTTCATCTATGCATCTGTTCCGCTCATCTATGCATCTGTCCCGTTCAATTATGTAATTATTCCGTTCAATATTTAATCTATTG